TTCTCGAAGGGCTAGCTTCGGCCCACAATAAAGCCAAATTTATCGTAGCTACTCGCGGATTCTCTACTTCTTTTCTGTCCCCCCTTGAGTACCGCTCCCGGAAGAGCTGCCGGAAGGGCGATTCCCCCGGACGCGTGCATTGCACTGGCGCCCCTTTAAAGAAATCGTCCGTGGGTGTGCGTATCGGTACGTGGAGGACAGCTTTCCCTGGCCGCCCTCCACCTCAGGGACTTTTCCTTTCGTCCCCCCCGCCGATCCGTCACAATATCTGTTCAAATGAAGTGTAGTAACCCATCGGTATAGGATTAGTGGGTAGGGAGATGTGAATCCTACTCTCGTATGAGACCCACACTACCACCGCGAGGAGAAATGTACATTGTATTTCTACGGCCGTTAACAAAAAAAAGAAATATTGCATATTTTTTGAAGAGAATGTAATAATTGAAAAAATCAGCTCCTTTCGAAGCCATCACAAAAAAAAGTTTTAACATGCTCATCGGCATACCACCTGTATTCAGATAATATCATACATTTATATCAGTTAATCAATAATGTTATAAAGAATAATTTTAATACAATGCTAAATGACATTATTAAACACAGTTATATCTAAAAAAAAATAATTAAATATTGTCAGAGCAATCGACTAGGTTTGTTGAGAATAAAATTACAATTAATTACCATTTTTAACAAATTTTATGCGTGTTCACAAAGTTGTCGCTGAAGCTGTTAAAGTGAAAAGTGAAAGTAATCGTGTCCTGAGTTCATTGACCTCACCATGTTAACAGCTGATTGACATCAGCTATCGAATGGTTGCAAATGATTCCAATCGGTAAAATGATCCACTTTCTTCTAAGCAGAATAATTTGTGGCTCAATGGGTAAGACACATTTAAATTCTTTTATCTTTTGTTGCTTTTGCATAACTAAGAGAAGTATCGAATAAATTCCATTTTTCTTAATTAAGTGAATACTGAGTAATTGGTTTATTTTTTAACCGACTTCGAAAAAGGTGGAGGTTACTCAATTCGATCAGTATATTTTTTTTTTTTTTTAATTTATGAATGACGAATAATTCAACAATAATTTAAATTTTGTATTCACCTAATAGCTTCCTGTTAAACCGACGATATACCGACATTATACCGACACAGTATCGATACATTTGTTCACGACGACGATCGGCCGTCACACTCGAAGCTTTTGCTCACGCTTTCGCGCGTCCGGTCTATGCGCGCTCTCATTGGTCAGTGTTTTTTGCTAATAAATCGAAAATGGAGCCTCAACCAATATTTTAGTAAAGGAAAAAGTTGTTCAGAATCGCCCCACCTACCACCCCTTTTCGGTTCTTACAGTAATTGTGGGACATCCTGTGTACACTGCTCAAAAGAAATATGGCATTGAAAAATTTTGGGCAAAAATTGGCCAAATTTGGCTAATGATAACTCCGTGAAAAATCATCATAAATTTTTTTTTTTTCTCTTTCTTTCTTTCTTCAATTAAAGCTTGAGATCTTTACTTTTAGACTCTGTAGATCGATTTTAGATTTGATGCATCTCTACCACAATAACCCCGTAAATTGGAGGTCATGTTTGCTCTGTTGAAAATTGCAAAGTTTGATGAAATGCATGGGCTTGCCACATTTTCTTTTGGCGACACTGTTTACAGGAGCATAAAGTACAAAATCTGTCCAGCAACCTCTCCGAGGTGCATATCGGATAATGCTAATGCCGGCGGTATATGCCATAAGTGCAAGGGTTTCTTTAAAGTTCTGTATCTTTGCGGAAAAAAATGGTAGCGGTTTTTCACGTACTGGAAATTAAAGATAAAGCTTTGTACGTTATGCTCCTCTAAATAGTATCACCAAAAAAATGTGGCAAGTCCATACATTTCATAAAGCTTTGCAATTTTCAATAAAGCAAACATGACCTCGAATTTACGATGTTATTGTGGTAGGGATCTCCTTGAGAGATCGTACCGATAAGGTGGAGCTGCACGGGTTCTGCCATGCATCCCAAAGGGCCTACGCTGCAGCCGTCTATCTGCGAGTAATTCATAATGAAAAAATTTCAACCATGATATTGGTGGCTAAGACGAAGATAGCCCCAGTCAAAGTATTGACCATACCAAGGCTAGTGCTGTGCAGCGCTGTGTTTCTGTCAAAACTAATGATCCAAGTAAGGGACGGTCTAAACTTACCGGCATCGTTGACCGCTTGGACCGATTCTAGTGTGGCCCTGTGCTGGATACGAGGCCACGCGTCGCTCTGGAAGCCTTTTGTGGCCCATCGGGTGTCCAGCATGCAGACACGCATTCCGGCAGATCGGTGGAGGCACGTGAAGTCAGCCAGCAATCCCGCAGACTTGGCAACGCGCGGTATATCACCTTCTGAATTGCTGGACTCCAAATTTTGATGGCACGGACCTTCCTGGCCGGCTCAGAATTCCAACCTCTGGCCCACTTGTCTCTCAGAAGAAGATAGAGCCGTCGATCTGGAAAAGAGGAGGGTTACTGTCCACGTACATGCGAACAGGACCGAAGAAGAATTCTTTTCCGCTTCTCCTCGTTAACGCGTCTCTTACAGGTTTTATCGCATTGTTTTTAGATTTTCAAGGCTAACTCGGAGGAAGCCGTGCAAAACGGAAGCCGTTTTAGGCCCTGTTCGGGCTCTAGAACGAACACACGCCCTGCGAGCCGCCCTCCGGACATTCCAGCGTAATCATTTCGACAAGGATATCGAACAACACGTCAGGGCCGAGAACTGCCCAAGGGTTCCCCCTTGGCTTCGCTACAACGATTTCTCGACAATGAGGGATTGCTTCGAGTCGGAGCGCGATTAGCCAAGGTCATGCTCTCCTACGATGAGAAACACCCTATCATCGTGGCAAAACTCTGCCCTCTTGCAAGGCTTCTTATTTTAGATACACATCATCGCACGCTTCATGGAGGATCACAATTAACGAGGAGCTTACTTACGCGGAAATTCTGAATTTTGCGTGGAGGTTGCCGTGATACGCTCGGTTATCCGAGACTGTGTTCGGTGCGCTCGGTTCAGCGGTCGGTCTGCTTTTCAATTAATGGGTTCACTTCCGCTGGACCGCATCACGCCGCACCGACCTTTCTTCATTTCAAGCGTAGACTATGCAGGACCAATCATGCTACGCACGACGTTGGGACGAAGGTATAAGGCGTATAAAGGCTATATTTCAGTATTTGCTTATCTTATCACGTGTTACGGCCTACCCGCGTAAAGGTAGGTCCCTGCTTTATGCGACGCATCAACGATCCCCCTCCCAGGTGACGTAGGGCCCTACGTCACCTGGACGGATTACAAAACCGACAACGGTTCGCGATTTAGAATCGTCCTCGTTACCTTCGAAAAGACTACTCGTTCTCGTTACCTTCGAAAAAACAAAGCGACTACCTTAATGTACTTTTTTATTGTTCTATAAAATAGCATTCGTACAATCATGTAATTCGTGTGGTGTATTCGTTCGTCTAAGTTCTTATTGTTCATTAAACTGTTACTACAAACGTGTACTGTGTCGTTGTTCGTGAACACTTTCCTCCTCGTTCAGTTATTTCTTTTGCTCCTTGCCGAAACACCACGCGAGACGTCCACTTAGAGGTTGTGTCCGATTTAACCACCGCCTCCTTTGTAGCCGCTTTTCAAAGATTTATCAGACGTCGAGGACGCTGCGCCACCCTCTACAGCGACAATGCCACCGTCTTCCAAGAAGCCGACCGAGAATTGAGTCAAAGGTTCAACGCCGCTTCTACCTTTTACCAGGAGACAGTCCTTGCACTAGAAAAGGACGGCACCACTTGGTGTTTCATCCTCCCTTACGCCCCGCACTTCGGAGGTCGCTGGGAAGCAGGTGTAAAGTCAGTTAAATATCATTATGACACAGGTGTTCACCGGACACGGTTGTTTCGGTGAATACGACTCTGCCTTTAGGTATTCTGACTAGAATACTTAATCTGTTTCTGGTAAGATACCGAAAAAATTATTGGAATCTACAACAACGTTGATTCCCAAGAAAGACACCGCAACTGAGCCTGGTTACTTCCGACCAATTATCGTTTCACCGGTTTTAGCTAGAGTTTACCATAAGGTAACGTCATCGCAACGCCATCGATCGGATTAAAGGTTCAAACGATGATCGTTCCAATTTTAAAATCAGATCCTCCTGAACCTTGAGCGTAAGCGAAAGTATTAGCAATTTTCACCCCGAGTTTCAACCGCTTTACATAGTGTTTTCAACAAGTTTGTTGTTAACGTTATAGTCGTCCCATTGTGAGTGTGCGTGTAAATCGTTAATTAAATCATCTTGTGAACGTTTCAATTTATACTGTTTTTTTTATTTTACCAAATTCACGTGACTCTGCATAGACCATCCTGTGCTCCATATCCTCTCTAGGATAGAATTAGCGATCCAAAAATCGATCGGCCAACTCGAGAGATACTCGTCGGGTAAAGTGATCACAAAACATTTGGTCCTTCGAGCCGGATCAGAGCAATTATCAGTGTGAAAAATTCAAGTGTGTAACGAGGAGTTACCGTTAGTAACGACTTTGACCTCGTGCCAACCGTTGCGGACGACACCGTGATAAACAAACTCTTTGTTCCGTCGCGAAAATGAGTGATATAGACAGTCTAATCAACCAACAACAAGACGCGATGTACTTTGTCCTTCGCGCATTGGAAAACTTCAAAAAGACCGGCAAGGCCAATTATACCATTCCAACAGTGCGCAACCGTATTGCTAAACTTGAAGACGCTTTCAAGGAGACTCAAAGCCTTCACCGCAAAATCGTGGCGATTGCCACCACTGACCACTACAAGAAGTACGAATACTTCCAGTCGCAGCAGTTTATGCTGGCACTCGAGGCTTATTTATTCACCTCCGATTTCATGGCCGAGGTTCTTCACCAGCTCGAGGAGAAGCAGAAGCGTGACAACCCTTCCAATGCATCAGAAGCATCAACCGCCAAAAGAAACGAAACTTGGAGGAGTGGGAGAGTTTTCGTGACCGATTCCAATCCATGATCGTCGGTAACGTTAATTTGTCCAAGGTATCGAAGCTACAACATTTGATATCATCCGTAATCTTACCATTACCGACGCGAATTTTCAAATAGCATGGGACTTGTTGATGCGGCAGTATAAAAACAAGCGTCGTCTAATAACCGTATATGTACAATCGATCCTCAATCTACCGTGTGCCGTTTCCGAATCGCAAGCCGCTCTTACCGACATTCGGGACCGCGTAAACATGCCAATACAAGCGTTAAAGAATTTAAAGTGTGCAGTCGAATCATGGAACAAAATTCTTGTCTGTCTTGTTGTAAATTGTTTCGACAAAAATACGCATCATGTCTGAGAACTTCAATTAGGAAGTTCTACCGATTTCCCTCAATTTACCGAATTAAATACTTTCCTCGAAACGCGTATTCGATCACTGGAGTCTATAACTCCTCCGAAGCATTTGACCATTGTAAACAATCCTGACTCATCGAATCAAAAGGTGTCTCGACCGCGATCATCGTTCCATTCTCACGCGACAACTTCGAATACTCAGCGATGTTCGTTATGTCCTGCTAGTCATGGTTTGACCCAATGTCCTGTTTTTCGGGAAAAAACTGTAACCCAGCGAGTTGAGTATGTGAAACAAGGTAAACGATGCTTTAATTGCTTCAGTAGTCAACATAGCCCATTATAATGTAAAAGCCAGTTTTCGTGTCAAAAGTGCCGAAGGCGTCACCATACTTTGCTTCATTTTCCAAATACCGTATCGAAACCAGATAACGCAGTACCTTCCGCGAGCAATACTAACATCGAGTCACCAACTCAAGCCGCATCGCTTTCTATTATGAATTCTACCGCAATGATTTCATACGTTCTCCTTGCCACTGCGTGAGTGAATGTCCATGCTAGTAACGGTCGTGTACAGCGCGTCCGCGTGCTTCTGGATCAAGAATCGGTCGTGTCATTAATAAGCGAAAACCTTACTCAGAATTTATACCCGCTCACGTGTATCTAGTTTCATTACGGGCGTTGGTAATAGCGAAACCTACTGCAAGGCGTCAACCACTCTTCGAATTGTATCTTGTAAAAGATCGGGAGCAGCATATTCGATAACCGCGTTAATTGTGGTAAATCTTTCCCACTATTTGCCGCCACGCGTGACAGGTAATATTAATCTCCAGCAACTTCGTGGACTCGATCTCGCGGATGAAAATCCATTTAGTTCCGATCCCATTGAGATGATTGTTGATGCTGACGTATATGATTTAAACCTTAATGTCGGTGTACAATACCACATTAGATTGGATTCTTTCCGGTCCTGTCTGTTTTTCTATGCCATATTTCCTTTGAGTAGATATTCGCTGTTTTGCTGTATCTGTTGCGTAAGTAGTTTATTTGTCATTTAACTCGCGGCCGCGCCTCTATCCCATTTGTCGTGCTATGTTGCACTATACTTCAAATTGTTCCCCTGTGTGTTTAATACTTTCTTCCTCATTTGGGTATATTCCCTGAGTGTTCTTTTTTGTGCTGATATATTTCTTGTTGCTTGATTCGCGTCACGTTTGCCGTTATCTCTTCGCATCGTATTATCGGTTTGTTTGTTTCTTTTTTGTTCCTGTGATCTCACTACTGCTACTTCATCCTATTGCTAGTATTGTTTACTCATGGCTTCTGTAGTTTCTTGTTCCTGTCGTTCACTCTACCATGCTATTCATTCACTGTTCGCTATTTGTGGTTTGTGATTGTGATTTGTGGTTTCTATCTTATGTTACTTTACCTGTGGGTGTTACTTTGCTTGTGGGCTAGAGCTAGATTGCTATATTGGGAATTGCAAAGTGACCATGGACAAGGTAGCAAGTCTAGAAAAAACTGTAGAAAAAATGGAGATAGTTACTAATGATGTCGAGGGGAGACGGCTGGCTGTCGTAGCGAGCGCGCGTGTACGGAGGTCGCTTCGCGTTAAAGTTCAATTTTGGTGGGAAAAAGTGGTAAAAGTGTGGTTGATAGTGTTGTGAAGTGAGGGAAAACCGTGGGGGAAGTAAGCGGTGAAAGTTCTGTGAAAATCGGTGGTGAAATAATGAAGTTATTAATAAAAATCGAAATTTCGGTAATGGCGACCTCCACACGATGCGAGGGAAAGCATGGGGTGCAAACCCATGAGAAGTCAAGAGCGAGGAAGCGAGTGTTCAGGCCGACCGCGGAATAAAATAAATAAGTGCGCGACCTAAACACGATTATTTTAGTATATCGTGAGTGAAAATAGTGCAATTTAAAGGCGAAACATGCCCTCGAAGAAGGACTTCCGCACACGTCCTTCACGTGTGCGGAATGTCGAAATTGAAAGAGAAAGTCACAGAAATTAAATTAAATAGATTAAATAATGCAAATAACAGGAGGGAATTAGAGTGCGGGGAAAGGGTGAATGAGGCATATTGAATGCACACGGTGATTAGTTTTTAGTTT